GTTTTTGATGTAGGGAAGAGTTTCTAAGCAACATATGAACCCAGAAAAAAATTTGTCACTGTGATTATACAGAAATTTAGAAGTTCTATAAAGCAGAGACCATAAATGAACTATAAGTTGACATCTTAAAAGAATGCACATAAGAGACAAAAGGTTACTGTCCATGGACAAAGCAAAAACATAACGCATGGCTAGGCGGGCGTAGGGGCTCATGCCTGCAATCCCAGCACTTTGGGAGGCCAAGGTGGGCGGATCACCTGAGGTCAGGAGTTTGAGACCAGCCTGGCCAACATGGAAAAACCTTGTCTCTACTAAAACTACGAAAATTAGCTGGGTGTGGTGATGGGCGCCTGTTATCCCAGCTACTCCAGAGGCTGGGGCAAGAGAATTGCTTGAATCCAGGAGGCGGAGGTTGCAGTGAGCCGAGATCGTGCCACTGCATACACAGCAGCAAGACTGAAAAAAAAAAAAAAAACCCACAAAACAACTTTTAAAGGTCAAAAAGAAACATAGTAAACAAACACATGAAAAGCTGCAAAACTTCACTGACAAAGAATTTATACAATAAAATGAACTTTTTTTCCTATCAGAAAAAATTAGAAGCTTGATAACAATGTTGGTGGAGGTGCAAGGAAATGGACACTCTCCTCATTATTATTTCTCAGTATTTATCAAATTCTAACATATGCAAGCCTCATAATCAGCAGTCCAAATTCAAATATTTTATACTATAGAAATACGTAGAATAAGTGTACCAAGATACAGGAACCAGGATGTTCAATCCTCAAAACATTGGTTTTTATGACAAAAGTTATATATATTCTAAACTTTCATTGATATGGGAAAGGCTAACCACATGGCAGTCACACATGATGGTCAACAATAAAATCCTAAGACCATTATAAAGTATAATGAAGATCAAGGCAGAGGCCCAAGACACACTATTAAATACAAGTAACAAGCTGCAGATAAGAATACTACAATTCTATTTTTTAAAAATACTGTGTTTCTATATGTGTTTTCTAAAATAAAACATACAAAGCTACTTACAGTCAGCACTCGGAGAAGCAGATCTAAGAGAAGGGAGTATTCCCTCTCTTTTTGATACACTGGTTTTTCAGAATGTATTACTAATAGCCCCTGCTATTATTATTTTTACAATTTAACCCAGAACCCTCTGCCCATACACAACAGGCCTGTCACTTTCAAATATGTAATCAGTACATAAGACTTCCATATTCTGAGTAATTATCTTCCATCCACTGGCCTCTGCGAGCTGTTGCTTCCACATTATACCCTCTGCAATACATGAAGACAGTTGCCACATACCCTTCAATCTTCTATTATCCAGTTAAATATCCCAAGTCCCTTCATGCACTCCTTATGGGAATAGTGTCCAGGGTTTGCCATTCATTCTTTTTTAGAATGCCAAGACACATTTCCCTGGGCTCCTTCTGTCCAGAACAATATAGAATGGGTCTATCATCCCCTTTATTTTGGAAACAATTTCAACAGATGCACCTAACAGCTTAATTAGCTCTTCTGACAACCATACACAGCCGGTTTATTAAAAATACAAGCATGGAGGATGGGGTTCAGGGAAGTTCTCTCTACTGTCTTCACAATTTTTCTATAAATCTAAAACGATTCTATAAAGTAGAAGTCACAAAATAAAATCAAATATTCTACTTACAAATATAAAATGTAACTTGAAAACTACTACTATGTTCACTACCTGGGTACAATATACCCATGTAACAAGCCTGTACATGTGCCCCCTGTATCTAAAATAAAAGTTGAACATTAAAAAACATGTCATTTGAGATATTTCCCTCAGAAGGAAATTTTCTTCATAATTTACTTCTTGAGTCCTGTAGCAATTTACTTATGTGTGACTGATACGATACATTTTGCTGGCATCTGCTTATGCTAGTGACATTACTAAAACCATCCAAAAATGTTCTACAATAAATAGTTTTAACAATAAGTTTAGAAGAAAATTCATAAATATTCGGGAACACAATTATACCCCCTCTGAAAGTTAAAAAAGAAAGAAAAGCCTGACCAATATGGTGAAACCCCCCTTTACAAAAAAATACAAAAATTAGCTGGGCATGGTGATGCACACCTGTAGTCCCAGCTGCTTGGCAGAGCTGAGATGAGATGATCGCTTGAGCCCAGGATGTCCAGGCTGCAGTGAGCAGAGATCATGCCACTGCACTCAAGCTTGGGTGACAGAGCAAGACTCTGTCAAAAGAAAGAAAAGAAGAAAGGAAAGGAAAGGGAAAAGGAAAGAAAAGGCAAGGCAAGACAGAGAGAAGTAAGGCAGGCAGGAAGGGAGGGAGGGAGGGACAGAGCGAGAGAGGAATTCCAAAAATAAATCTTTAGCTTACTGACTTTAAATTCTAATGATATATTATAATTTATCAATTTAAACTTTGAGTTAGTTCACAAATATAAATATCTCCAAAACAAGTCCAAATACATATAAGAAATCTGTAAGA